GGCTAAGGTACTGCTGGTATTTGACCGGGTGAATTTAGTGTCTCTTATAGCTACTGACTGACAGCAAGCGTTGAGAAAATAAAAAGCCACCGCTGGGATTCGAACCCACTGTCTAACGATCTGATATCCGCGAGCTTAACCACTCGGCCATTTCAGAGGTATTGGTTTTGGTTGTTCATATTTCAGGAGATAACAAAACCGTTAACCTTACTGCAAAGGACCTGCTACGTAAAGACCGAGTGAATAAACGCTACAATAGTACATCACGTACAACAATACACATTCACACAAACAATAGTCGTCAGTATTAGGTGTTCTCCCTGACAGCTTCTCCTTAGTATTTCTAAATGAGCACGCATCAACATGAGCAAGTCCCAAGAGCACGTCAATAAACCTGTCTACGTGTCCGAACCCTGAACCCTGAATAACACCCCATTTTTCCCCCTTTTGGGGACGTGGGAAGGGGGCGTTTTCTCGTGTTTTATTTACTTGCATATAAAAATGACAGCCGGAGCTTGAATCAAGCAGCCAATAGTTCTGCTAAATAGCATGTTAGGTTGTGAGGTGGATCTCATCTGTCGTGTATAATAGCTCTTCAGACACTTGGTCCGGTGAAGACAACCTCTTTACAGCAAGTTTGATCTCCATAAAGATATGGTTGAACAAGCACTTTTCCTGTCATGTTATAGTTCATGTTCAAAACATAAGTTGACGTATTTTCCGTTGTGTGAAATTATGTACTCTTCTCCTCATTAATACTTGCATTTTTCATCAGTCACTTATTTTAATAGTTCAATGTTACATTGAGGCTTTCTTCCTGGGATGCCACCACAGTTGCACTCATGAAAATATTCGTTAGCATGAAACAAAAAGGCAACGAATCACCCTTTGAAAGCAGTGAAACAAAACTTGGAAGTAAGAACAGCTGAGAAAAAAGGGCATTTGAGGATTTGCATAAAAACAAATATTACTGATTACAGCTGTCTTTTAAATAAAAAAACTTGCAAATTCATATTGTCAAAATGTAACACGAATAAAGAAAAAAGAACACATCACGTAGTTCAGCACTGTTAGTTTATAGGGTGAATTATTTACCCTACATGGTATTTTGTACACAAAAATACATGTGCCTGACCCCCCCCCCCAGCCAGAATTACATGCAAGGAGACCCAGGACCTGGACTCACCACAGCGTAAACCAGTATTCCTACAAATGTACATACTGCAAACGACATGATCGGATCACTTCTTCCCATCACGACATAGTCGCATGAACTTCTGACTAATTATTAGAGGTGCTTCACCAAAACTGGGGTCTAGGATCGCAAGACGCCACATCAGCTATAATGGGAGATGTAAAAAGAAATTCCAGGAGAAAGTTGACTAACATACAAGTCGTTGTATATGGGCCTTGTAATAAATTTTGATTTACTCCTTATACATAAAATAGAGGGCGCTGTTTATGAGCAGCGCGTTCTAGACCTCTGTGTACTCGTTTTGTGCGCTTCACAGTAATAATATTGGCCGAATATAATAAAAATATTTGTTCGATTGTGTATGCAGGGATATGTACAGCTATTACCTTAAAAGGTACCTTTTGGACGAGCATCGCTTACATTGAATTTGAACCAATCACTTTAAAGCTGAATGTGTGAAGGTTCAGGGCGGATCCAACTTTTTTTTCCATGGGGGCAAGCCAGAGATTTTTCAAATGTCTCATTTTTGCAGACAAACGGAAACTATGACATACATTGTTTACAGTGGTATTGGTGCAATTACTTCAGTTACTAATTTTGTACTATTTTCCCCTTTTTTATTTGTCTCAGAGCAACGGGTTCGAACCCCTCCCCCATCCGCACCTGAGGTTAAACAAATTTCAGTTTGGATATTAAATGTAAAACACTTTTACAGATTTGTTTTTTCTATTTCTTCACAATCGCAGGCTTGCCAGGCGGGAAAGTTTTTCATTTGACTTTGTTCGTGGGAGAATTATAAAAGGTACCTTTGGAAAACAATATTTCACTGCAATATTTCACACATTAATTACCTGTGATTAGCTCTACCCTTTTTGGAAGAGCTTTGTAGACGGCTGTCAACATGCATCGTACAACGTATCTGTGAAGTGTAAGAGTTTGTAATTTGTAGAAACTTAAACATACTGGAGTTCGATCGCTGCGCGGCTGTTGGTACTTTGCCGTTGTTTCCTTGCAGAGTGTGCTACAACTTATGTATATGCAAATTCCAGGCTGGAAAATTTCCGTTGACTTGTTAAAATGGAAATATCATATATAGTCGTCCATGAGAGAGAAAAAAAATGACAAATTGTCCTTTTTCACGGTGTGTAAGCAGTGTTGGTTTCTTAAAGGTGATAATGACCCTATCCCATCCTGCCTTCAGCTCAAAATATAAATATTGCCTATTCATAATTTAAGTTGTAACATACAGCTATGGTTGTAATCCATTCTCACCATCCATCTGCCACTGAAATTAGAAAGAATGCAGACCTTCATTCGCTGAACATACGGGCCTGCTGCTCCAATATCAATAGCATGTTTGCTTTGTGATCTGCCTGCTAGGTTGAGCGCGCACAGACACGACGTGTGCAATGCACCGTGAACCTGAACTGTACATGTACGTGTGGTGTGTCAAATTTGTCAAAGTGGCCGCCAGTGAGCAGACAGTATTGTCCTATTGATGTCGAGATCGGCTCTGTTACTCATTGTGTGCAGGGAGGGTCGAAGCCTCCTGGAACTGTCACAGGGAAGTATTGTGGAACGGTGCACTTGGTATGACACCGCTATCCAAACGGAGCCATTCTAGTAACAATAGGCATCGTGCATGTGTTCAGTCCATGGCAGTCTCGGCGCTTTGAGAGTGTACGATGAACATCGAGTTGCGTCGTCATCGCGTAGTTTGAACATGCACCCGGCTAGTTCCCTCTCACGTATCTCGCGCAGCATTTTTACTAGAGTGAGCTTCTGGTGAGCATTCAACATTCACCATGGCTTCCGATGATGCTTCAGTCACTGTAGAACTCACTACAGAATCAAGCTGCTCGCCAACAGCGGGGGAAGACGGGGGGTCTCCCCGCGTCCGCGGCGGCGAAGCCCACGTTTTCATTTCTAATAGACAGATGTCCACCACTAAAGACGTGATCATTAGTGTGCGGGAAAAGCACGGTTCTTTTCGATCCGCAGTGCCCTGTATGCCGATGTCGTTAGCTCTGGTGTGCTGCCTTTTCAATATCTTCTTGCCTGGAGTTGGTAAGAACACGTACAATAGTCCTACCGCAAAGACCAATTTCTTGCATTTTCTCCAATCAGTGCAAGGGTTTATTTAATTGTTTATTGACAGGAGTAGCAAGCAGAACAGGGACTCTATCATATGGAGAAATCACTAATGATCCCACAATTCATGGTAACCTCTGTATTAGGTAACTTTTAATACCAAGTACGTACGTTGAGGAGCTGCACTTGTCACTTTAACATTTTGCATGACAATTTTTTTTTAACTTTGTTTGCGACTGCACTCTGATAGGGGATCACCATTTGAAAATGATTATCCAGCCTTCTCTGTTTTGTGTATTGGAAACAGGGAGATGTAATATCGAGCGCTCCGTCGCGGAACCTATGTTGTTGAAGTGGTACCCTTAGAATATACAGTGTGTTGAACGCAGAAGTGTGCGCAGTGTATACACCGAGGAATTGGATTCCGATCTCTCCTGATTTTGGATCAAACACAGTCAGAAGCTGCGGGTAGCCTTGTACTGCGTTGTCCGCATATTATTTCTGCCAAATAAATTGTGCTGGTCAGTCAGTTATGAAGTGCTCCTTTCATGTCACAGAGTTTGAAAAGACGAAAACAACATTCCCACTGATGTTGTAAAATTCACACTCCTAATATACGTGTATATGTTTTCAAAATTCATAATGTGAATCTTGTACAGTTTTATAATTATAGGGATGAATTCAATGATTTCCTGTCAAAACCTTTTTTTTTTGGAGTATGCGACAGCAGATGCCTCGTTCCAATCTAGCATAATCTTGAAAGCCCCCCTTTCACTTGCTGTGTATAGGAAGCATCTATTAGATGATTTCATTCGTGACCGAATGTAATACGTGATCGTAAAATCTGACACGTGTCCGCTGTCTCCCCTCGGTCAGAGCGAGAGCTCGTTTACCCTCTTATCCCTCGTGATTTTGTATTCAAAGTTAAAGGGGGGTTAAGTGATGCTCACAACACGTGAAATCGGTATCCAAAACCAATATCATTGCTGGACCGGCTTTCTTGAGGTCATTCTTAAATCGTCCGGATGTGATGTGATATGGGCAGAGAGGATTAGACAGCAGGTGCTTGCAATGTTTTAAAATCGCCGTTTGCACTTGCTGTTTTAAATGCAAAATCCTGTCAGTGGCTTTCATAGAATTAGAAACATATCCTTCTGGTTCATTTAAGGGAAGTGGGTTCCTTAGTTTTAACCACAAACAAAATGCACGTCTGCCCGGTCTGCCGCCATTTGTTTTTATCACTAGTCTTAAATAATTTTGTGTCAAGTCACTTGATTATACAAAGAGATTCAAATTGGAATGCAAAAACACAAATTGTTCGAGTGCAACCAAGACCGACGATCTGTTATGTACGGTTTTAATGGGGCAATTTTATGATTCTTTCCTCGTACGATGCCCGATATCGCTGTAAAAATCTCGGGTTAAGAATTCCCATTAGCCATTTGTTACGTTTTATGTCAATATTTTTGAAGTTTTTCTGGTACATTTCTCACTGTGCTGTTTACCTAAAATTTGTCTTTTGTAGTTTCTGCATGACTCTTTCCGTCAACTTTTGATCTTATAATTAATTAATCTTTGCGAACTAATCAAACCCAAGCGATCTTTTCAAGTCCCTACGTGACAAAATGTGCAAATGTGTTAACTGATCGGCAACTGGCACACGTAGAGCATAAATTTGACTAGTCTCGTCTGTGGTTGACCTTACGTGCCAACACTGAAGTGGGCTCCAAAGAGAACATTTTCGAATTCCTGTTCCGTGACGAAGTCCACACGATGAAGTATAAAGCTGTTGATGTGCATGCTTATAAAGGATGATTATGGTCTTGAATGTAAACGCACGAATGGCAAGGAAGTACAAGTCATTGGCCCAAATAGAAATGTGAAATATATGACTTGTATTCACTTCATTTATTTTTTCAGTTATTTTTTTAACCTGTTTGTTGTTTCAATTTTCACACAAAGATTTTAACGGGGTGGTTTTGTAAACCCAGAATTTAAACTTAATGTTCAAGCGCCCGGATGACGTCATTTTGGCTTAGAGAAGAAATTGGACGAAATCATCTATTAGACGAACTTAACTACACAGCTTTTAACAATTTAGGGCTATACGAATGTGGTCACATCATACCATAGAGACGTATACACATACTGAATTGCAGGGAAGAAATGGAAGTAAACATTTATATGTTTAATTCATCTTGCAGTGCACTCGGACGATGTCTACACACCTTATGCTTGTGCAGTCATGACCCGTCAGCCATGCCAGGCGGGCAGCACAACCACAAGTAATCTGCTGTAGATAATATGCAACAGGTTTCGCGCCATATGGACCGGCTGGCTGAGCGCTGTTGAAAAAATTTCGAATACGCTGAATTCATAGGTGCATTCTTTGCGACACTGAAACGTTACCAGCAGTTAAAAATCAATAGAACTCGTTGTGGATGAAAATTCGGCACTGTTGTCGCGTTGTCATTGAAGGGCTGTCGCCTTGTGTTTATCAGACACAGAAAGTACGGTAGTCATAGCCGCTTGGTTTTGAAGAAGCTGCATCTGTTTGATACATGAGACACACTTGTGAAATCGCAGTGTTTAAGTATATTCTCACCTCTTCAGCAACACCTGCCTCATTCACTAGACAGAAATCGCCCGTAACCTTTTTTTTTCTCTTGCGAATTACAATAAAACTGCACCACTTTTAAAATTCAGGAAAGTGTGCATTTCCATTAATCGGAAACACACCCAATTAGTGCACGTCACTGCGCGATATACTGAATAATTGATCGTCCAACTTCTTGTTAAGTACTGCAAGGAGGTGGTAAGCCAGGTATAGGCACGCATGCCCATCAGTGCCGGGGCCCAGGTGAATTACTTCGCCTAAGGGCACAGCTAATGAATCCGTAATAAGTGACACATATGTTTTAAACGGTTATAAAAGGAACAGCCGTCAGCGGCACCAGATGCATGCATTGTTTGTTATAATGAAGTCAGTGGCTGCTGAATAGAGTTAAACTTTCAACGTGTCACCCGTATATTCTTCAGTTACTGAGAGACGTTGACGTCATTGCGACCATTCTTCTTCAATGTGTCAGTTCTCCTCGTCTGTAATTGTCCGGCACAGCATAACCATTTTAGATGTCGTTAGATTCCCCTCATACTGCTTTGTGTTTTAATAAAAAAATCAATATCAGTTATAATCATTAGGATAAAGGTTTGACGTACGACAGAAAAGCCACGTAGACATACGATCACTAGAGCATAATTATCATAATCGATATCATTAAATTAATGCACGGTCAACAGCCTGATGGAGGGCGTCGCTGCAGTCCAAGGCCATTGCTGATCGTAGCTGCGCCACTAATGACGAAGGGGCGATTCTAGCTGTTATGTTATTTCGAAGATTGGATTAATATTCAGTTCATTATTGTCAGGAAAGTGCAGTTTTACAGCAAAATGAAACGCAGCTTCGGATTTTTCACAATTCTGACGTGTATTATTTATTTTCTAATATAAGTACTTTGACAGCAGACAAAAAGAGCGACACAAATCCAGTGCATTGCTGATGACAGTTTTTTTTTGTATTAACGATGTTTTATATGAAAACAGTTCTTCAGTGGGCGTAAAGCGAAATAAAGAACAAAACATACTGGCATGACATACGCGCAGCCCAATGTGGAACAAATTGATTGATAGAATACACAAGATGAACTGGTAGAATTTTCTACCAGACTGCCTTTTAAATAGACACCCCCCCAAAAAAAAAATTCAAAACGCAATTAAAGAAGCAGTAAAGTAATTAGAGAGAAGTAGGACAACTTGCATGTGTTACGGTATATGGCGAGGAGGTAACCACATACTGGTAGTTTGAATTGAACATCGACGGATATGCACGATTGTTGCTCATCTTACAACTGGAATTCTCAACCAAATGAATTACTCCGCTGTATAGTGTGGCCCAAAGTGTGACCTCATCAGGGCACAATGAAATGGTAGCAAAATCACATTGCTGAAGGAGAAAAGCTATGAATACACTGTACGCCTGTAAATACGTCTGTCCAGAAAGCATTATTGTAAAGAAATCGCCTGGCAGTACAAGGGGCTGGCAGTTAATATCAATTAAGAAATGCACTTCTTTCCTTATTTTCTCTTTCTAATGGCATGTTTAATCACACCAAAATCCTGATTGCTCGGGAAGTAAAGGGTCATTCAATCTTTTCGTGTTTGCAGCTGGGGCTCTGCTGTCGTAGGGTTGTTTGTTTCCGAGTGAAACGATCCCGGACGAGAATAGGTCGTGAAGTGAGGAGGAGTGTGTGTTTGTGTGAGTGTACGTGCGCCTTTCGTCGTGACATCGCGGCCCATCTCGATTTGATCCGGACTCGCCCGCTCGGGGTTGGCATATTCCATTCACGGTCATGCTTTCCGTCCAGCATTTCCGCGTAGAGTCCAACTTGAGATGTTTTTTTCCATTGCGTGACCCACATGCATTTCCAAAATTGATTTCCATTCGGCGAGTTGGGTTGTAGTCGAAATCTCGTACTTAGGGTTACGACACTTGTCGTTAAGTAAGACTTTGGATGCATGCCATAATATTCCAGGATCTGGGGCTATTTTGGCGGTGTTTTTGAAATTGATGAAATATCATGGCAATGTGTGGAATGTTAAAGGGAATCCCATACTGCAGAAGTCATCTTGTCTCTTCCAGAAATTCCTCGCAAGCTAAGGGCAAGACTTACACCTTTTCTCCGTTTTCTGAGTAAATTTTATATTCCTGACAATCTAGAAAGGTAAACCAGAGACTCTCACAAAATATTAAAGCAGGATACTACTTATGTGTATTACCTATGAGAAACAGCATTTTGTGAGTGATGTTTTGGAAGTTTCACCTTAAATTTTAATTTTAAACAAGGAGTTGGGTAATCACGCTCTAAATTTGACAAATAAAAAAACGCTGTAATTATTTATGAACTTTTAATAACCCA